CTTTCCTCCCCGCGAAGCTTTCTTGGTAACTTATTAGCGAGGGTGGGGTTTCCGCAGGGTTTCGCTTATTTAAATGGCTCCCGCGCACTAAGCAGCTCGGGCGGGTAAGCACCCGATCCGTACCGAAGTGGTGCGGCTCAGCTCTGGGCAGCTCCCCTGAGAAATCTCCCTCAGGCCTCCGGTGAGCCTAGAGAAATGGGCAAAGTAAACATTCACTGACTTTCACATGTGCCTAAGCAAAAAAAAGAAAGGCGATTCTGATAAAAGATCCGTCTTAACACTGAGTGATAGGTGTAAATGGCATAACAAAGGAGAAAAACCATAGGATTCTGTCTCTCATTCCTCTTCTTTCCCCAGCTGCACATGCTTTAAACAGAATAAACTTCTATGAAGTCAGAAAGTTACCTTTTTCAAGAAGTTAAAGTAAGATTTGCACAGCCATTGTAAGAAGCGTATCATGATTTTGGTTATCAGTCGGTTTGCTATCTATGATAATATGTGCCAATAGTTTTGCCTCGAAGATCAAAGTGAAGTAGCTTAAATCCTGACAGATGTGTGTGTATACACATAGACACACACAGTATTTGCAGGTGTCTCATCTCTGTTACTAGGCCTGTGCTTCAAAATCTAGAAACGATGCATAAGGTGCCCAGCCCTGGAATACCCTGAGAATTTGGAGTACGATCAGTAGGTGTCACCGTCACTTACTGGTCTGCAACCTGCCTTCTTCTGCAGGACCTTATTTGCTTCAAAAGACATTAATATGATAGCACGTTCAGTGCAGAATAAGTGAATTGCCCTGCCAGATCTCATGCATGTCTGTGAAGAGCAGTTGTGATTTTTTTTTTTTATTTGCAGATGCCTTACTGTCACCTGAATTCTGAACGCAGGGCATCATTGCTCTGAGTGCTTTTGAAAATCACATCAATCAGTGCCAGAGATGTTGGCAAGCTACGTGCATTGTTATACTAAAAGGATTAATATTTTTGTGTTGCACTGCCGAATGATCAGGTTCTGGCAAACGAGTTGAAATATCGATCACTGTTTATAAAAATAAGGTAGTGTTTTATGCATTTGACTCTTGTAGAAATTGGAATCTCCAAAGAAGAGGCACTGGAAGCGTTACAGGTTGTGAGGCAGGAATGTCCCGGGGATGCAGCAAGGACTGCTGGGGGATCAGGCACCACCAGGAAGTGCACAGCACTGGAACTGCTGGAAGAAGAGCAAGCCCAGGGCTTCATCATCACCTTTTGTTCAGCACTAGACAATATTCTGGGAGGTGGTGTGCAACTAACAAAAATCACTGAGATCTGTGGAGCACCTGGTGTTGGGAAAACACAGCTATGGTATTTTATTTTTAGATTACTTTTGTGCAACCGAGAATCACTTTTCTTCATTTAGTTTAACTAGGAAGAGAGCTCATTTTTCTTGTTGTCATGACTGCAATCTCTGATTCTGATACAGCATTAGAAATGTAATCATGATAATGGCTGTACTGCTTCCTGTTCCATGTATTCCTCAGCAGAAATGTCACTTTAGGAGTGAGTTGGGAGGGGAGAGCTTTGTGATGTAAATATTTATCTTTTTTCTGTTTCCCATGGCAGTATGCAGTTGGCAGTAGACGTACAGATCCCAGAATGCTTTGGGGGCGTCGCTGGAGAAGCTGTGTTCATTGATACTGAAGGAAGTTTTATGGTAGACAGAGTAGTGGATATCGCAACGGCCTGTGTGCAGCATTGCCAGCTTATTGCTGCAGCTCAGCAAGAAGAAGGTACGTTGCAAAGTCGTTTCTTTCTGCCTAGTAGGCTAGGATCTGAGTGAAACGAGTGTCTTGTAGGCTGCAGTTTCACACTTCGAGGGCTTCTGCAGCAGTGCTGGCTTAAGGAGGTCTTGCTGCCAGCCTTTCATTTCCACCTGCACGTATCATGCCCCGAACTGCCTCAGCATGTGGAGCCATGCTGCAGAATGAGCTGATCTACTTTCAGAATAATTCTTTTTCTACATGGTGATCTGTGGGCTTTTTAGGTATGTGGGGATTTCAGCTTTTGCCTTTTTTTTTTTTTTTTAGCACTTTAATGATCGAATTTACATCAAAACCCAAACGCAACTCTGTCAGCAAAACTGAGGGATAATGTGCTGCAACGCAGGGATGGGACGAGCAGCTGGGGAAAAGAGATGAGGAACAGCAGAATTTCTTAAGGCAATGTTGCTGCTGAGCCCCATATTGTAAAACTGCAGCTTGAATTCAGCTCCTTCATGAGGTCAATATAGCCAGGTTGCATTTAATGAAGAGTTCTGTTCTATAAATCATCACTATGTTGGGGACGCTGACACAACTTTTATGTAACTCTTAGAGCACTTTATGCAGCAAACTTCTGTTTGAACAGAGATAAAAGGACACCATATTAAATGAGCTACTGCCTGTACATTAATTAATGGATGATTAGTAGTCACTGTTGTCCTCTGGTGGTGTTCTGGCTTGAAAATGATTTACTGGAAAAGTTCTTTTTTCAGAAATAAATTTTTCATTTTCGGAGCACTCCCTTGGAGGCTCCGGTGTATCTGTGTGCAAATGCTGAGATAGCATCTGCTCACCACCTTCCTGACTTTCAAGCCAGATGGAAGGTATGTTTCCCACACTCTTTACCTTGACTGTTTCTTTTTCTGGGAGTTTTGCTGTTGCTATATGTGGAAGAGAGAGTTTGGTAGAATGATGAAAGTAGCAGTATGCTAGTACAGACTTCTGACTCATTTACTCATCTATTTATTTGTTCTCAGATCATCTAAAAGCTTTGGAGACTTTCTCTCTTGAAAGCATCCTTTCTCACATATATTACTTCCGTTGCCGTGACTACGTAGAGCTTCTTGCACAGGTCTACCTCCTCCCAGACTTTCTTTCAGAGCATTCAAAGGTAAGGGTTATTGCAGACTTACCAGAAGGTATCACTCATCTTCACACTGAAGAATTTCAGGGATGTTCATCTGTTACAGTAAGAGTAACATGAGTAACACCTTGGTACCTCATCAGCTTGGCAGTAATGTATTGGCTGATGCCAGAGTACAAATGTAAAGCTTACTTGCTTGTTTGCTTTTTCATTGCCATCCCAATCACTCTTGAGAGTAATTTGCTTTTGCTACCACTGCTGCCATCATCCTGAATCTCCACTTCGAAGCGAGGATACTGGATCTATGTTGCCACACATCATTACATTTCTATGAGCACTGAGTTATGAATCATCACAAAACTGATTGACAAAAGAGCCTCTGAGCCAGGTGTGCGTGTGATGACCACGATGCAGGGGGATCAGAAAGGCTTAGTGCCATTTTTTTTGTCCTAGAAGATCACCGAAGACCAGAAGCATCCTGCGCCATCTTGGCATCCAGAAAGTGACTCTTCTCCTTCTTTCCAATACATCTTCTGTTGCTACAAGCAACCAGAGCCTGCAGCTTGACTCTTGGGTGGACCACAGCCAAAAAGTTTCCTAGTACCTGGCATCTTAATGAAATGCTATTGTAAGGCAGATTTTCACCACTTCCCTTCCAGATTTCAAGATCCTGCACAGCAGATCTCTCCCTAACTGGATTCAGGGAAGATGACTTGTGCCTTATTCTAACAGAGCACAAATGAGTGTTGTTTAGTTAAGATTGTCTTTTGCACATAATTTCCATTTTTGGAAGCTGTTATGTTCTTGAAAGCGCAGATGGGAGTCTTAACTTTTGCTTAGTGTAGTCTGGTACTTCCCTTTCTCTGCCAGGTACTAACGGTGCCCTGTTGTGTTTGCTCTTGTGGAAAGTACATGGCTTCATTAGCACAGTTACATCGGGCTGCAGTTTTCTGGTACCATCTGTGCTGATTATCTGTGCTTGGCCTGGAGCCTGAAATACTGAAGGTTGCAGGAGAACCGCAAGACCTTCTGGTGATTCCTTGGACGGGCTATAAGTGACTTAACAGATTGCTCATTGCAGTCCAGCTCTCATTAAAATTAGTCTGATCCCTCTGTGCAGACCTGGAGCTGAGACTGGGACCACAGGAAACCTCCAGGTTTTAGGGTTTTTTTGAGAGACACATAGTTGTAGAGAGTGTCATTTGGAAATACAGTTTGCAATCTTGTAGTAATATGAGGAAGACCAATAATATGAAAAAGACTATGTCAGAAGATCCTCTTGTCATAATAAACATAGTTCTTTAAGGTCTAGTAGAGACAAACTGACATGGAGAAGGCATGTGTTACCAAGCTTTCTGTATATAGCCTACTTCTGAATACTTTAAGTCTACTTCTTTGTTATTTTGTAAGTGCAGCTGGGAGAAAATAAACTAAATTGCATCCTACCTAGACATATTCATCTGATAGGCAAGTTATATAACTATGTGTACGTTCCTTTCTAGGATGAGTCACGTTTATACTGTTAAACTGATTGTTCTTAAGGTAAAAAAATTATGCATGGGGAAGATGTACAGGCTTATAGAAAATAATTTTCAGGAAGGAGGAAAAATGAGAAAACAGAAGAATATCTTATTTTAATTCTAACTATTTAATCTTCTTTTTTAAATTAAGATTTTTTTTTTTTTTTAAGTTGGAGGCCCAGGGCCATTTCAGAGAGTGATGTTTGCTGGAGGCTTGTATGTTCCAGCCACAAAGCTACTTCCCAACAATGAGTTAAATCAGTAATACAGAAAATCAGTTTTCTTGTGTTGTTTCCAATTTGTTATCTTGTGCATTAATGCAAGAACTTGTAGATACCTGGGATTTGAGTGACATCTAAACATGCGAACACTGTAAGACTATCCATCTCCCTTCTGTATTTCAGGCAAACTTGGGTCATCAAAACAGCTGCAACAAATGAAGTTATAATAAATAAAAAAATCCCCGACTAATGTTGATAGAGTGTCTTGAGGGTGATGAGCCAGCAGCAGCATTTTGCTCTAGCTTCAGCTAATGATTGCTACAAAAGAAATAATTCAGCAAAGCAAACATCTTCAGGCAAGATAGATACTCAGCTCCATTGCATAGTGTCCGGAATATCTTTAAGCATCTGTTAAAATCCGTGTTTCTAAGATGACCCTTAGAATCTGATGAGTTACCTTAACAGTGACTGCAGACAGCACGTATTCTAGTTTTGGTTTGGACTTTATTTTTTGAGGGAGAAGGTGCAATAAATTAGTGTTCATGGAGAGTTGATTGAAGTACAATTCTGATGTTTAATGATTTTTTTTCTCCAGCTTCTCCGCAAGGCTTTAAGTCCAGCTTTGTTATTTTGTATTCTGTACCAAATACTGCAGAGATAAGTCAGCTAGCCATGAACGAGCAAGCTCTGAAACTGGAAACAGTCGGAAGGGCAGCTCTGTGCTGAGTTAACTAATGGGAGAGCTTCCTGCAGCATTTTGTTTAAGGTAGTGCAGCTATGGTCTGAGCTCGTATCTATGCGTAATGCAGTACTGAACCTAGCAAGGGTACTAGTGTGTTTGGAGCTTGAGGTTCTTTACTCTGCACTCTTAAGGAGTGCTGATTGTCTCCCATAGAGAGAGAAAGAGACAATAGGTGTTGATGCTGTCATACACATCTGAGTTTGAAATAAAAGATTGTCATCACCTTACGTAAAACATGCCAGTGCACTTAAAAAGAGGTCTTACTGCTTTTTGTCATTTGTTTGTAGGATAGTAATGGTAGTTTTTCCTTTTCTTCTGCGTTTAGGTCAGACTGGTGGTAGTTGATGGAATTGCATTTCCTTTTCGGCATGACTTTGAGGACCTCTCGCTTCGAACAAGGCTTTTGAATGGTCTGGCACAACAGCTGATCATCATAGCAAATGATCACAAAGCAGCGGTAAGTCTGGGGTGGGTTTAAATCACAAAAGATGCAACTTTGGAATAAACACATTACAAAGAGTTAAGCAAATGTGATTTGTGATTGTCTGTAAGTAGCAAAATAAAACTCAAGAATGTCCTCCATGCATTCGTGTTTGCCAGTTTGGTTAGTAAATATAGATGGATCACACAGACAGAACTGTTTAGGTGGAAAATTCCTAGACTTGCCAAAACAAGTAAAATTTGCAAAAAGCACCCTGCGGATCTTAATTAATGGTAGGATATCAATTTGTCATGCTGTTTCACATCATCTTTAATGATTTGGTTGGACAAGGAATGCTCCTTTGGTGATTTTTACCTACAAAGCACGCGCATTAAAATACATCAGAGTATTTAGAAGTTCCAACACGATTTTCCACTCTTTGTTTAAAAATAAACTACCGTCTTAGCAGAGGAACTGTTCTTAGGGAGGAAAACCACTTTATCTGCTAGTTTGGCTTGCTGTTCTGGCATCCATGGAAACCCGTAGCTTCCTTCCTGGGCATTGTTTCTACGTCATTTACGCCAATATGGAGGCCAGCAAATCTGCAGCCGCGTAGCCAGCAGGTGGCACTCAGAAGCTACATCTGTTCCAGAAGTTGTTTTGGCAGGTCTTTTTACAGCACAGAAAAGCATTGTTCAGGAATTAAAGCTTACGCAGTCTCAAAATGGTGCTTGTGCCTGTTACTGTTTCCAGGTGACTTGCAACCTTGTCACCCACGACTCTCTCACGCAATTGGCTTTTGTTCCTAACTGCTAA